CTCTCCCCAATTAGGGTTACAAGCTCCTTAAATAGGGAAAAGTAATTCTAATCAGAATAGGAAACTAACACCTTAAGCCCTAATCATAATAACCATGAATTGGGCCTTAAATAAATGAATATTCAGCCCAAAATAATATAAAAAAATGTGAAAATCACTAAAAGTAACCTAAAGTAACATAAAATATCAGTTTGTTACAAATTGCGATAGAATTGCAAGATTGATGCAAACTGTGTAATTTAGCATAAATGACCTCAATTAAGCTTCTCTTGAACCTGAATAATGTTTATCATGCCTTGATAATCATCCAAGCTTTGATTTACTTGTGCATGTTGTTATCAACCCAGATCTGCTCAATAAGGCCATTTAAAGCTTCTTGCATCTTCTTAGCTCTAGCTCTCGTGACTGGACCTCCTGGAATATGTAATGGATCTCTTGACGTGGTACATGTGGGGTCATCTTGCCAAATTTATGCTTTGAGGTTTGAACAAATGGTAGAAGAAGACCTAAAAAGAAAAAAAGAGAGGAAGTTGCAGCTCTCCAACGTGTGGAGAATTCGCTCGATAGGTTTATCAAGTCTACTAGGCTAGATGGGTCAGATGATTTTCCCAGGTTTGGACGGTTGGATCGTTAAAACGGGTTGGGTAACGGGTTGCGTGGATACCCAACCCGTTTTAACAACCAGGTGGTGATTGAATCGGTCGAACTGACTGGTCCGATCCAATTTTAAAAACGCTAGATAATAGTAGTATGATAGTGTCAACTTGACCCATTTTTTAATATGCATATAAATGTACTAGGAATGCCAGTACAAGGATTGTATATGGTCCCTGATGGGATGTAGATTAATTGCATCACACATATCCTTGTCTCAAAAAAATTTTTCATACAAAAAAGTATCTATTGATTCATCACTCATTTATTATTAATTTAAATTAAAATTATTTAAATTAATAGTCTTCAATTAACAATCAAAAACATGTTATTTGATTGATGACCAAGTTACCAACTAGTTAATGGAGAAAGAGAAAAAAAAATTGGTAAAAAAATTGAAAATTTACTAATAAAGAAATTATGACACGTATTAAAGAAAATAAAATAATTTTATTTTTGAACATGAAGGAATTTTGAGAGATGGAGGATTTTTTTTTTCAAGTTATTGGTAGGAGTTGAACTTTCAACTAATTAAATCTAAATACTGAAGTTTGAAACAAATCATTAGACTCAAAAGCCAATTACATATAACATGTCATTCATAGTTTTCCCCTTTTAATATATATAGATTCCTCTAGCGTGGAAATCACATGGTGCTGTCAGCTGTGTAGGCACGGTTTAATGGGCTATATACGGCCAAGTGACTAAATCCATTAATTTTGTGTCAATCATGTAATTAAGTGAGGTGTAGTTTAGGGGCTAAATAACAAGCATTGAATGTTGGAGGCTAAAGCTCTCAGTGACAGCAAGTTGGAGGGGCACAGGGGGTTAAACCAAACTGGGAGTAACTTGGCTTTGCCGGTGCCGGTTGAAAACTTAAAACTGGCCCCTACGTGGCAGCTTGAGAGATTGCGTGTGTTAGAGCGAGTGAAAAACTCGGGGGCGCGTAGCATTCGTCGCAAAACGGAACGTTTAAGTCGCGTTCGGAACGTGGTAGGTGCGTAGTTAGGCGGGTTAGACTGGGGAGTCTACTTACCTCGTTTTATTATTATTTTATTACAATTATTTTATTTTTATATATGAGAAGCAGCGAAGTAAATATTGCTTCAGAGTCGTCCGTCTTTTTCTCTCTCTTGCTAATTCCTTCTGCTCCTGTATTCTCTGTTTTCCTTGTTTGTATGGCCGCTAATTGGAAGAGTGGTGGAGGGATCGCCAAGCGACTTTGTCAACACATCTCCACCCGCGATCCTATTCCTATTCCCTTCATTACCAGGTTTAGCCTCTTTTCTCAGTTATCCTGGACACAGTTATTCTTTCAAATAATTATTTTAGTTTCCTTTCTCACGAATTCTTCATGGAGAAAGAATCGAGATCTGTAGGGAAATTCTATTTTGTTTTCAGTTTCTGGTTTGGTGAATGATTTGCCTGTTATTTTGCTCGTGTCTGAAAATAATTAGTATAGGAGTTTAATGTACTCCTGTAGATCTTTTAATTTGAAATCAAGATCGTTAGATTTTTTTTTTTCTTGGTTAGATCTTGATTACTGATTTTGTTACTCTATCTTTCCATTATTTAATTAGATTAATTGAAATTAAGGAAATAAAATAAAAAAAATCTGTTTTCGTTTTTTTTTATTTATTTGTGGATAATATCGTAGTACCATGGAAAGCATGGCCGTAGCTTTCTCTTCTGTCTCTTAGATAATGACACGCTAACTGTGGCCCCACACGTTTTGCTGTTCTATGACAATTTTGTAGTACTAATATTAGGAAAATGAATAAGCGATAACGTTATTTGTTACAAGTTATTTCTTTAACTTTTTATATAATTTAATGATTTCTTTTATTCTATTTCAAATTTTCAATGATTTCTTTTATTTTATTGAAATTGTATAAATAAGTTGTAAAAAAAAAAACTTGTTCACGTATCATTATTTTTAATATTATATTATGATTTTTTGGGTAAATATTTAATTTCATTTTTTAATAATTAAATTTTTATAATTAAGTAGAATTAGTTGTTGATTGCAGATTTTGACTTCTATATAATGTCATTTTTACCAAGATTAAGAATTTATGTATTATGATGGATAATTAAAATTAAGGGATAAATAAAAACAATATTTATATGCTTTAAAATATGAAAAAATTGCAATTAATTTGAGATAAATTTTTTTAAAAAATTATTATAGGAGGTGGGAGTAGGATATTTGGAATGGGCATCTTGATAGCCAAAGTTTGAATCAGTGGCAGTCATTAACTTTATTAGGAATGTTAATGACCACATAAAAAAGACTATAACTTAATGCAGTTATTTTTTTTGGTACATTTGATGATTGGTTGTACAAGAGGGGATAGCCTTCCCTTAATCTCAAATCTCTTCTCACCTAACTCAAAGGTTTGAACTTGAGATCTTCAACTTGGAATCTCAAGCTCTTATCTAGTTGAGTCACCCCATTTGAGGGCACTTAATACAATTATTGTTTTTATTTTTTGGTAGCTCAGGTTTTTTTTAGTAGGTTGGTAATTTGGATTGCATTTTTAATTTGCAGTCTAGGCGTTGAAATTATTTATCATTAATTATTAAATATAACAGAGTTCTATTAATTGTGTTTTGGTCATTTCAATATGCGAACTGCACTTTTAATGTTCAGTACTACCTATATAGCACTTTTTTGTTTTAACAATAAACTATGCTGATAATGTAGTAAAATGCTATCCATTGAAGGAAAAAAGTAAACATATAGGGTAGCAATACCGTAATAATAATAAAAAAAAGAAAACGAAGTATATTAATTAATCAACACTTTGTGTGTGAAAAGATGATATTAAATAGTTTTCATTCAATTAATCTTTATTTTTCTCATCCTTCTCATTATCCTCAAAAATAATATTCAATAGTTAAAAAACCTAAAATGGCTCAAAGTGGTATAATATAAATGCAAATAAAAATAATCAAAATAAAACATAGTGGACTAAACTAATAGTTTTTTAGAAGTTTAGGGAGCCTTAGTCCACTCAGCTTCTTAGCTCCATCACTACCGATTATACAATAGAAGATAGCTCTTTTCTCTCTTTGTCAAATCCCTACACTTATCCTAAGATTTGAATTGGAGACCTTCAACATGAAGTTTTAATTCTTAAACATTGGGGCGTCCTAGGAGTTAAAAAGATTTAATTGGAAACAATTGTGTAATGGGTTCTTAATTCAGTTATAACTCATTGAATGAATCAATGTTTTCTCTTTTCTTTTCTTTCTTTCTTTCTTCTCTCCTTTTTTTTCCCAGTTATAAATCGGCTGAGCCTACATAGTGACCAGAGCAGACTCAATCCATAGCAACAACACAGATGTAGCGTATCTTAATTCATCAGCGCTTTTGTATACCTATATATTATGGATAGAGCACAAAGAGACAAGCCCTCGAATTAACATAGTACTTTAGGTATAACTCTTTATCCACACACTAAGGGTGAACAGACCTAGGCTTTATTGGGTACCTAAGGCAATGGGACCAACCTAGTAGCCCACAACAACTAGGGCTAAGCACTAACTAAACATTCATTAGGGCAACATAGTCCAAACAAGCCCTCGATTCAACATAGTTTCTTAGGTATAACTCTTTAGGTGAAGAGAAACCTCACAGGAAGAATCTTCAAAAGTAATATCTTCTTACAATCTAGGTGTTTAAAGCATAGTTGTAACATCCCAAAACAGCTAGTTTCCAGACACTCTTATAGATCCTAGCTGAAATTTGTGTCATAATAGATTTCTATTCAAAAGTTGACAAGGCTTTAGCTACATTAAGTCTAGAAATCATTTCACTAGTTCATAGAGAATGTTCTTAAACTCCAAACGTAACTATCATATAAACCATAAGTTTCAAAATGGATTTTACATGCATACAATCGACAAGCCTGGCTTGATTTAGGTCTAGTCCCAGAGCTTAACTACACATAACAGCATATTTACAAGACCAACAAAAGGTACAATTCTCCTTTTCAATTAGAAAACAAGTTTTGTACAAAAAAAAACTTTTAGATGACCAGCTTGTTTACAACTAATTGTGAGCCATGATAAGATTTTGGTCAGAGAACAAGTTTGTACTATTGGGCTTCCCAAGTACTTATAAGCGGCTATATAATACACTAACCTGTAACAAGAGGGAAAAACAATATTTCCATGAGCTATAAGGCTCAATAAGTAACAAAAAGCTTAACAAACTATAAATATTCAAATTAGCCAAATCTGAAACTGTTCTCAGCAGTATTCAATATAGTTCCCTGCACATTTGATGATAAAATTGTACTAGAAGCCTGTCATATCTTCCAGACATTAGGACAGATTCTGTTTTATCAATAGAAACACATTTAAACTTAGCAAGGTAACTTTATGCATGTCTAAATGTTTTCAAGAGAATGCAAATTATGTCCATGGTTTTCCTGTGGGTGTACATCCCACCTTACAAATGGCCCAGCCATAATTTCCTTGAGTTACAAAGGATCTAATAACATTTCTTTGCACTACCAGTCCAACTGGGTTTCATATTCCCAGTCAGGGGCGGAGGCAGAAATTTTTTTCAGGGGGGGCAAAGTACTAAAATTTTCAAAGTTCAGGGGAGGCTAGATAATTTTTCATATACTAATTTGCAAGATTTTCAAATTTCAGGGGGGGCGAGCGCCCCCCTCGCACCCCCCTGGCTCCGCCACTGTTCACGGTCCAACTGCGTTTCATACTCCCAGTCCAACAGGGTTCTATCCAGCTCAAATGCTCAGGTATTTTACCAAAATTTCTTAAACGCAAGGAACTTGATACTTCTAGTTAACTCACATATTACATAAACACTATTTTAACTCACACACAATCACCAATTTGCATTGTCATGTGGAAAACTGCAGCTAGCACATCTTTATAATGCATTTTGCAAACAATTAATTCACCAGAAAAATCCCACAAGAACACAGAAAATGCAGTTCCCAAGACCATTTCAAAGCTTAATTAACAGTAAGTGTCCACCCACCTCTTTTTGCATGTTTCTAAATTATTTTGTAGAGGTAAAAGCTGAAAATCTATACTTATATTTCTTCTTTAACTTAGGAGAATTTTACCTAGCTTAATTTGTTAAGCTTAAAAGTTATTTACCTCAAGTTAAATGAGGTTGGACCCAATCTCAGTTTTGCTGCTGCCTTCGCTACAAGGCCAAGACTCCTCTATTTCTGTTTTCCTCATCTGGTGCCAGAACAGAAGAGAAAAATGGAATTCATTTTGGTCGTACCTTGTAAAAACATAATAATTCTGACAAATGTTAGTGGGATGTTAATGCATTCCACTTTCAATCTAGCACTTGTCTCACTGTGCACTTACATGCCAAGTGTAAGTTTACCTGTCATTAGTCTACGGTCTACCAAGCCATTTGTTCAGTTCAGTAAACATTATTAAGAAATCAGTCCCTGAACTTCTCTTAACAGCACAAGATCTCAACTATTAAGTTTTTAACATTTAAGGACTAAACTTCTGATGTTTTTACATTTAAGGATAGGGATGTTTCATTAGTTCGTAAGTTAAAAGACACTCCCGTAAACAAAAAGAACTTATATTGTGGGAAAAAATATTCGATGATGAAGAGGATTAGCTGCAACTACACCTGCCTAGGAAAATCTTTCTTTGACCTAAACTAGCTTCAAGTTGGAAACAACTAATGGTCACAAGGGTTGTAGACCCAGCCACGGGATGTATTTTTTTCCAACTTGGAAATGGTACAGCTTAAAGAAAGATTTTCTTAGGGAGGTAGTTGCAGCTAATCCTCCTCTTTGAGATTTTCCCTAGGTATAACTCTTTATCCACACACATTAAGGGTAAACAGACCTAGGCTTTATTGGGTGCCTAATGCAAAATGGCCAACGTAGTAGCCCACAACAATCAGGGCTAAGTCCTAACTAAACATTTTCTGGAACTTGCCAAAATAATAATAATAATAATAATAATAATAATAAAACAACTAAACATACAGTGGACTAATATGAACAATATTAAACCGAGGACTCCTACTAAACCAATAAGAAAAATTAAACTTAGGGGATAAAACTAAAAGATGGAGAGATTACCTATTTGGTAAAAAAGAAGAAAAAAAAACTCTAGTGCCTCTCTTCCCCCTTCTTGCTGCCCTTTCTTTGTAAAGGGGGACAACCCATATAACAATGCTCTGTTGTTCCATTTTTTATTAGATAATGAAGTATAAAAGGATATGCCTCTTATCACTACTCACTAGAAAAGAGGACCGTACCCTAGATAGGAGCCACCTCCCCTAGGCAAGGCTAAACTAAACGGAACCTAAACTTTGTAAAGGACCAATAAGCTATCCAGACTCCTTCCCTTCATATATGTAGCCTAACCATATACCATCTTTGCCAACGACCTAAGTAACTCGATGGTCATCTCCTTCCATTGGAAGCAAGAGGCTTTGAGTTCAAGTCACATGGCATACAGATGGACTGGGACATGGGATGGAGATGGTTGCCTCCCATTGTGCAACCAAGATAAAAAGGAAAAAAAAAAAAAACTATATACCAACGTCTAAAGGATCCAACCCATCTCTAACACAAGTGGCACCATCTCCCCTAACTTCATCATCCATAGCTCTCATCTAATGAAAAGTAGGAAGCTCTAAATAGTAAATACATCATTGCTATCGCCCATGTACACAAAGCACCTAAAAGTTTCTCCACCCCAACATTAACCAAAGTAGATATGGGGAAGCTCCCTGGCCACAAGTCTCTAGTTCAAGCACAACTTGCACTTGATTGAGCTATCCCTTCCATGCTCTCCTTGGACCTTGGCCACAGCCTAATTATTTTACAAGAATCCTGTCTGCCTTCCATCTCACTGACAATCTAAGCCAGCACTCCTAATCCATGAGACACTTCCAGCAGCTTGTTGCATTAGTTTGAAGCCTAAACAACAAAAAGAAAACTACTAGCTGGTAGGCAACCTAATAATCAATCCCTTAAAAGGATCTGTCCTCATTATTCCCCATATGAGCAGCCCAATACCATCAAACTATGGGTTCCCTCATTTGACCTAAATTCCCTCGAGATATTATTGGAAACAAAACCAACTCTAACAGCAAACTTCCTAATTTCTAGATGAATTCCTACCAAATCACCTTGAGATGGTATTGGAAAGAAAACCAGCTCTAATAGCAACATTCCTAAATTCTAGATCAAATCCCTCCCGGATCAAAATTTTCAAAAATTAAAATTAGGGATATTATCTTGAAAATTACTCTCCTTTCCTCTTCTGGAAGTCCAATGCTTGATTAAAACCTGTCACCGCTGAACCTTCTATATCAAGCTCCCCCTTAGCCATGGCAATTCCCGGAAGCTCTCTCAACTACCCTCCACTACCTTCCTAGACCACTAGAATTTCTCCATGGCTCTACCAGATCTGATATCTTACCATCATCCTCCATTGCTGCACCACCTCATCTGTGTTCTGTGTCCCATCTACAGCCACTGCAATTGGAGAAAGTGAAAGAAACCAACCATCATCACATGCCAACTTAAGATTCCCATCAATTTCGCTTCATTCTTGACCATTTCCTCCATAGCAGCCACCATCATTGTTGCCCTAACCTTAACATTGCACACCAATTGCCTAACAAAACTAAAGAACCCAATGGAGAAAAGACAAAAAGCCCAACTAGTGAACAAAAAACACTTACATCTTGAAAATCAAAATGTCCCTAAGACTTAAAATGTCAAGACTAAATCTTAACCATAACCATATGATAGATGAGACTAAAGTGGGGTCTACATTATGTTTTACCCATTTTGTGGTTATAATTCGAAGTCTTTGTATTAAACTTAGACTATGTCCCACTTGTCTTGTGGTTATGATTGAAAGTCTTGACATTTTTAGTACTAGTATGTCTTGATTTTTACACCCTCATATATATCGAAAGAGAGAGTAGGGATCCACTTATATAAATATTACACCTCACAAAAAAAAAAAAAAAAAAAAA